TTTTATCCTGATTTAAACAATAAACTAATTTAATTTTAAAATTCAATTTTTTATAAAAAAGTATTTTTAAGAGTCTTTCATCAAACTACAAATATTTTATATTTTTAAACATTTAGTTTACTTAAAAGATAATTTAAATAACTTCAAATTTAATTCTTATATTTTTTCGTAATATTAAAAAATTCATAAAAATATTGGCTTTAATGTGAGAGTTTAAAATATAATGACACATTCTATTGACTGTTTAAAATCATTTATTGTAAGATGGGTTTATTTAATAAATTCTCTTTAATACCAAAGATGTTTTAATATCAATCATTGGTGGGATAATCAGAAAAGCATGACAATTTAAAGGGGAATATACATTATATAAGAAAGATGGTTATGGTTATGTAACAAACAGTATAAATATAAATTTATAAAGTAGTGAAAAAATTAATGTGGCTAATTTAAACTTTTGTTTTAAATAGTATTTTAAGAAAATTCCATTTTAAATTGTTTTATATTTGTAATATAACGTCTAATCAAAAAGATTTTTTTAAAAATATTTTTTGATAATTTATAACTGTAAAAATGAAGGATGTTTTATTGATTTTTTAAATAATTTTAGATTATATTGTAAATGTCAAAACACGTTACTAAAGAAGATAAAAAAACATATTTATATAAAAAAGTTGATATAAAGAATTTTGAAATTATAAAGATATTTAATATAAGTTAAGTGATTTTTTTATTCTAAAAAAGGTATATTTTAATAAATAATTTTAATAAAAAAATATATACATTTAAAAATCTTTAAATATTAGAAATAAATTTTAATAAGAATAGAATGAATAGAAATTTGAAAATTGGTTAAAAAGCTTAATATATCATTAAACAAAATAAAAACATACAGGAATGTATTGAATTATGATGATTTATTTATTTTTAAATTATTAAAAACCCTTTTTAAAATTTTAATAACATATCTTAAGATTTATGTATACAAAAAAACATCCTTGAGATACAGTAGATTATTGAAAAATTTTTATAGTTAGAAGAGATTTAAAAAGCCTATTTGAATTAAATGGCTTCATTTATATTAAAATAATAAGGGATAAAAGGTATGATGATAAAAATTTGAATATAAGAATGTTTTAATCAATGGTTTTTTAATAAAAAATAGAACTTTTAGAGTTATTAGTACAAAATCTAATTCAATAGAAAATTTGTGATATTTTTAAAAATAAAGTCAATGAAAAAATACCACAAAACATGAAAGAATTAAAAAAATATTTTTATGAAAAGTATAAAATACCAAAAAATCATATGAAAGACTTGTTAATTCACTATCAAAATGAATTAAAGAGTTTTTTCAATCCGATTAAAGAATTAACATGTATTAAAAATAATTGATTTTTCTATTTTTTATAGATTTAAAAATTGAATAATTTATCTTGTTTAATTTTTTATAAAATCATTTTTAGTTAGATATTATATCACAAAATAAAGATAATTTTATCAAAATATTTTCTAAAACAAAACTTAAAATTACTCTTATTTTTATTTTCATTACTGTATATAAAAGAAAATAAAAAAACCAAAAGACCTGATTACCAAGATCCTATAATTAATACTAAAAATAAAATACCAATGATAACAACAAGCAATATAACATATCAAATTATGATATAATTAATAAAAAACTTACAATTTTATTTATCCGGTGACGGGAATATTTTCTGCAAACTTTTACTTCATTATAATATTAAACTCTTTAATTTTATAAA